TTTCATATACTTACTATACTTAATATTAACTTCATATACTTAATATTAACTTAAGTATATATAACAACATATATAATAATACTGTTTCATTAGTTAATATATTACTAACATTACATTATAACTTAAGTTGTATCATCAGAAAAAAAAACTTTCAAAAATGAAATGCTGCTTAGGTTAGATTAGAAAAACACATCTTTAGAAATGTTACGTAGTTGGAAGACTCAATGACAATAAAAGAAACCTGAAGAAAAGAATAAATGAATAGTAAATTTTTAAAAGGCTCTAGCATATGGTACATATGCCATATCTGCCAGAGAGACTCTTAACCTGTTTCCAGGAAGCCAAAATCACATGTGCTGCTGAAGAAATCTAACACAAGATTACAACCAGCATTCTAAAAAGGTCTTAATTAGACAGTTACTCCTCTAAAAGACGTAAAACTTCTCAGTTGTATTCACTGACATTCCATGCTTAAGATGTAATTGGTCCCTCAAACTGTTGGCAGTTCAGTATAAATAGCTCTTCAACGGACAACATTTAGGTCTAATGCTATGATTAATAATATATAACAAAGTACTTTCTTTAAACAAGAGGTAAATTGCCAAGACATAAAACAAACCAGAATAGAGCATGTTGCTAACTGATATGGAGGTTTTTAATACTTTCCACGGATTTTTTTCCTAAGGGTAGAATTGTGTGTTTCCCTATGAACAATAGAATTGCCCTTTCCCCTTCCAGTCTTAATCATAAAGTAATGCAACAGTTCCAGTTGAAGTTCTGGGACAGCAAGTTCTCACAGACTGCTGTTACCGTACCACACGTGTGCAGCCTACCTCCGCCAAGGCACTCCCGTTGTTCAGATCTCACAAGATGTAAAAAAGCATACTTAATCTGTGAAGTAATCATTTTAGGAGGACAATCTTAGGTTTCTTTAAGGTGACAAAAAACAAATGAGTTGGAAAACTTGGGTCTAAGATCAAAAGGATCTTGGAACGTTAATCTTGCTTGGGTGGATTGGTATTATGGCATTTGTTCAAAAAAGGAGAAAGAAAAAGAAAAAAGTCCCCAATACTATGCACTGAATTTTTTTCGTAAGTATTATTATCTGACTCCTCTTTTTTTCTTTCCACTACTAATGTGACCACACACATATATACACTTAGAAACACACACTTTCGAGGCCGGGCGCGGTGGCTGAAGCCTGTAATCCCAGCACTTTGGGAGGCCGAGGCGGGTGGATCACGAGGTCAGGAGATCGAGACCATCCTCGTCAACATGGTGAAACCCCGTCTCTACCAAAAATACAAAAAATTAGCTGGGCATGGTGGCGCGTGCCTGTAATCCCAGCTACTCAGGAGGCTGAGGCAGGAGAATTGCCTGAGCCCAGGAGGCGGAGGTTGCGGTGAGCTGAGATCGTGCCATTGCACTCCAGCCTGGGTAACAAGAGCGAAACTCCGTCTCAAAAAAAAAAAAAAAGAAAAAGAAACACACACTTTCCCTTGTCTTCTCTTTCAGCTCTAAATTCTGTGTCATATAGTTATTGCTTTGGCTAGCAATATTTTTTATGAAACCCTAAGTACCTTATTAACATTTCTGAAAGACTAGAAGTCATTAAGAAAGGACTCAAACTGGATAAGACTTTTAAATCTTTTGGAATGTTTCGCTATTTGCAATAAATAGCTGTAAAACATAATCATCATAGGTTAGACCTTTATGCCCTTATCATCATATATGTCAAGCCCCACATGTAAAGATACCTAAAATATTCCAATAAACTTACCCTACTTTTGGTTTTGTTTTTAAACATCTTTAGAATAAAAAAGAGCCAAGTCTTTATAAAGGTATTCAACTTAAATTATTTCATATGATCTTTACATTTTTATTTATTTTCTAAGTGCAAAAGGCATGTAAAGTGATTTGAAACGTAAAGACTGCAAATTTCAGTGCTTAACTAAAAAGAAAAAGTTCCTAGTAGCCCCACCGTGCCAAGAGATAACCAGTAGCAACAATCTGGTTTCTGTTTCTCTAACTATTCTTCCTACACAGACAAGTTGCTTGTTTTTCTTTTTTTTCCCCTTCTTTGGAATACATCTTAGTGCTTCTTCCTAACAGTATCTAAATTCTTTCATTTACATACAGAAGAAATATCTTTACAGATAAACTATGAAGACAACCAGTGAGCACAAAACTGTAAGGATACTTCAGGATCTGATAACAAACCTGCCAGTTTAGCTAGGCGATTCCCAAGTGTATCTACAGAAAGTTGTTGAAAAAGATACTTAGTTCCAGAAAGTAAAGGCAATCATCCAAATTTTAAACAAGATCTCTTCAATTCAAATCAAGATAACTGTGGTTTTAGTATTTGAGGGAGGGGTTCCTGTATTTTTGTAAACACCATTTAGCGCTTAAAGAATATATCAAAGCCCAGTCTCTCCCCAGTCCTTCCCTTTCCCTGGGCTGCCAGGGTTTGCAAGTGAGTGGACCTCCTCATTCCTTCAATCAGCAGGCCCTTGAAACAAAGCACAAGAGCAAGGTTTTAATGGGAGAGATAACCCTTGTCATCCAACGGAGGAAAAACAACATCTGTTAAAAACCCAAGTAAACCGCACTAATGGGTCCAGCAATAAGCCCAGAGGACTTCAGGCATATAGTCTTTGCTTATCAAAATAAAAACCACAACAGAACAATTGTTTCACTCCAACGCTCTGTCTTCTAAACTCTCTCAACTCTCTCCAGATTAATTAGCGTGGAGTTTAGCCAAGCTCATTAAAAGAAAAACCCCGGACTCCTAAGGATGACTGGTGTTTACTGTCCTCCCAAACTGGCCAGTGAGAACTCAGGGGAGCCACAGACTTCTGGGCTTTCTGTAGTAATAGGATTCCTAGGATTTCTTTTTAAATTGCATGTTAAAAATTAGACTACAAGAATCTTTTCATATTTACTTCTTTTTAACGGAAAACAATTGGTCCTTATTTATTTTCCTTGTGCACCTCCCAACCCCGTTACACTTTATAGCTACCAAACAACAGACCACAGGTTTCTGAAGTCTGTGACCACTCCGATGAGTTATTAGATAACCCTGATGAGTTTGTCGAGTCCTCCAGAGCCTGTGGACACTCAGGCCAAACTTTTTTTTTCCTGAAACAGGCTTTCCCCACCCACCCAAATCCCCTAATTCTTGGGCCTGCCAAGGGCCTGACCTCCCATTCTCTGTAGTAAAGGGTGAAGTTTTACAGGAGGAAGGCCCAGTAGATTAAAGGCCTCTGTTCAACAAATATTTGCTCGCCCACTCCAGCCGGAGTAACAGTTTGCCACACGCTGCACGCGGAGTGACACTTAGAGACTTGAGGAAGCTTGTTAAGCTGGTGACTAAGAATTAGATACCTCATGTCAAGGTAAATAATTAAGTCCCAATCTACAGAACGTTATGGAAAACCAAACGACTTTACCAAACTCCCAATTTCACAAAAGCCAACACAAGTCCCACGAAACAGAATCTGCATACGATTTCCAAAGAAGCCTGTATGCATTCGTGCCTTGCTGGGTGGTCTTAGAATTCTAAAATGACCTGGGACATTCCCAGAGTTTTACCTGTACAACCATAACCACACGGTTTACACCATGCAGACTGCCTGAATCCTACCCATCGGGTCCCTTCCCCAAATCCCTGAATTTTGCAACCCTCACCGTCAATCTCTGGGATGTCTATTCCTTGTAAATCCGAAAAGACAAAACGCCGGAGAAGGAAAACAAGTTGTGGGAAAACACGTTAAACTGTCAGGACAGACAACTCCGGGAGTTGTGTGGTCTGCACCGCCCCACCCCTCTCCCCAAGACTAAGACCAAACTACTGGATTTGGGGAGGGAATGAGGACACGGGAGGCGGGTGGAGAGGGAGCGGGGGTGGGAGAGTGGGTGTGGGATGGTGATGTGCCCACGCTAATTCCCCCAAGGCCTCTGCTTCTTCTGAAGCACGTGAATGAGCAAACACCAGGACATGCCCAGGTAGCGCTGGCCTAAAGTTCTCGTTTTGATTTTTTTCTTCAGTAGTTAAATCACAGCTTCTTTACAAACGCCCAGAAGAATCCCAGGCGCTCTACTTCTTGACAGCATGCGAGAGGGGAGCTTTTAGCTGCTGGTGCTGGGCCCCACTGTGGCCAAGGCATCGAGGTAAACCCTGACATTCTGGGGGTGAACGGACCCCGACTGGGGATAGAGGAAGCAGAGGGTGCCCGCGGAGATCTGAGCGCAGAGACTCTGGGTGGGCGGGCTTCAGATCCCATAAATGAGCTGATTAACAGGATTTACAGCACTCCCAGGCGGGGCTCCTGCCCTTCTCCCACCCCACGCGCAGCCGGGAGCCCGGCAGCCCCGGGCACTCGCTGGGAGGCAGCCGCGATTAGCGCCCTAATCCCCAGCGCAGACCGCGCGGAGACCAGAGCCGGGCCGCGGCGGGAGCCTCCACCGTCCCGGGCAGTCCCGACCGCCGGGGCAGCGTGGGAACCGGGACCTCGCGGACCCCGCGCGCCGGCTGTCAGCTCCGGGGTGAGGTCCGCCAGGTAGGGGCGCGCGGGCGCGGGAGGGGTTGGTGGACACACGCTGGGGGGGGCGACTTCGAGAGCGGAGTGAGCGACCCCCGCCCCCGGGGCCCTCGGTGCGCCGAGGGGCGACGCGAGCGCTAACGCCAGCCGCGGCCCGCGGTGCCCGCCCTGGGACCCCCGCGCCCCGAGCGGGGTACCTGAGGGGAGGGGATGCCCCTCCCGGCCTTGCAGGCGCCCCCCATCCCGAGGCGGCGGGGCCAGGCGCCGCGCTGGGGGCCCGGGTGGGGCTGCGGCGCGGGGTGCGGACATCCCCCACCGCCGGGGTGGCTGGGATGGGAGCGACGTCCCGGCTGGAGAAGTTGGGGGGAGCGCGGGAGGCAGCGGGTGAGGCCCGCGAAGCGCCGTGGGAGCGGCCCAAATGGACGGTGGGACCCAGGAGGGCGACACGCCGGGACTTACCGAGCGGCTCCCTCATGCCGCCTCGCGCCGCCGCCGCCGCCGCCGCCGCCGCCGCCGCCGCCGCAGCTCAGGCCGGCTCGCCCGGCACCAGCGCGACCCGCCCCGCCTGCAGCCGCTGCGGCCGAGCATGCCCGGAGCACTGCCATCCGCCCCGCCCACCGCGCGGGCCCGCCCCGCCCCGTTCCGCCCTGCCCCGTTCCGCCCCGCCCCGCCCACCGCGCGGGCCCGCCCCGCCCCGTTCCGCCCCGCCCCGCCCACCGGCCGGGCCCGCCCCGCCAGGCCCCTCCCACCTCCTCGGCTCTAATGGTGGTATCCAGGCCAGGAGCTGCCTAGGCTTTTCGGGCAGTCTGCGTGGGTCGTGCGGAAGGCACAGGTGGTTTGACCACCCTTTCCTCTTTTCCTGTCACTTGGGTTTGGGCCATGTCAATCCTGCGCAGGTGTCCAAAGGCACATACACTCTTACGGATACACACAAAACACAAACATATTCATATACACTCACACAATTACACACAAACACACAAAGATATATGCAAACACACTCATGTGCACCCACACACAGATGCACAGGAACACAGGAAACAGGCGCACACAAACACATATACAGGACACACAGGTGCACACAAACACACAATCACAGACAAGTCCACACAAACACACAGTCACACACAAGTGCACACAAACGCACCCCTGTACAGTCACACAGAAATACACACAAACACACCCGTATACAGTCACACACAGGTGCACACAAACGCACCCAAATATAGTCACACGCAGGTGCACACAAACCCATCCATATACAGTCACACGCAAGTTCACCCAAACGCACCCATGTACAGTCACACATAGGTGCACACAAATGCACCAGTACACAGTCACACGCAAGTGCACACAAACGCACCATATGCAGTCACCTCCAGGTGCACACAAACACATCCATAAACAGTCACACACAGATGGAGCCAAACACACTGACACATATACATACATACACAGGAACACAGTACAGCAATACACACACACATACACACGCACCCACATAACACATTGATGTTATGAAGAGCAGAAAACAGTGATGGTGACAACAGCTTGGGATTTACTTCTTTAAAAAGAAAAGTCTTGGAGTCAGCTAGAGAACTGGAAACCACCTTCAGATCAGCTGGCCCATCCTCTCCAGTACAGATGAGGAAACTGATGCCAGGAGTAGGATTCCTGGGTATGAGGGGAGATAGGAGGAGGTGAGTGGGAGGGTTCAGAGCAGAGTGAACATTTCCTGACCCCAGACCCACTCCATGTTTCTCTTACAGTGGGAAGGGTCAGAAAGATTAGACTGCTGCCTGGGTCTGCTCAGGGCAAACGTTTTCATAATTTTGGAAGGCAAACACAAGACAAAAAAAATGTGAAATATTGCTGATGCATTCGGGAGAGACAGGGAATGTTAGTTAAGTCCACCCAGACAAAACATGGATAGCACAGCAGACTGGTGTCCTTGCCAAATGAGTTTTTAGAAAACTACTGAGCCACATCATGATTTTAGAAGTGTATTTGCTGTCAGAACACCAATAAGTAACGTTTTTTGCTCTATTACCATGCCTGAACCCTTCATATACATTATTTCTTTTGATCCTCATCATGGTTTGATCATGGGGGCACCACTTTACAGAGGAGGAAACAGACTCAAGGAAGGGTACAGTGGCAAGCTGCAGAATCTAGCCCAAGACCCCTGCTCTGAACCACCAGAGCAAGGTCGTCTCTTTGTTCTCTTGAATCATATGTTCGTCATGGTTACTAGGAACATATAATCTAACAGAGCAAAAAAGTGAAACACTCTATTGCTGGAAAAGAACGAACAATGTAATTGAGTGCTGTGTTGTGCATTATCAGGAGTGCATGGGAGGAAACCAGATGAGGATGATGGGAGCAGGCAGCGTGATCAGGGGCTCGAGAGCCAGGTAGCTCTGAAGTCAGGTAGCTCTGGTCCGGGGCTTGGCTTCTCTGCCACTTTCAAGATGTGGCACGTTACTTCCTTTAGTCTCACTTTCCTCTCTAACAAAATGGGGGTAATGATGGTTTGTATCTCATAGGAGAGTCATGAGAATTTCTGCCTCCAGCCCCAACTAACTGCCCCCCAAAAAAAAGAAAAGAAAAAAAAGAAAAAGAAAAATTAGCCAGACATGGTGGCTGTAGTTCCAGTTACTCAGGAGGCTGAGATGGGAGAGCTACCTGAGCTGGAGAGGTCAAGGTTGAAGTGAGAAAAAAAAAAAAAAGAGAATTCAATGAGATGATGCCTTTTCATCACTTAGTTCAGGTACGTGTAACAGTGAAGAAAATGGTGGCTGGGAGCAATGGCTCACACCTGAAATCCCAGCACTTCGGGAGGCCGAGGCAGGCGGATCATCTGAGGTTGGGAGTTCGAGACCAGCCTGGCTAACATGGTGAAACCTTGTCTCTACTAAAAATACAGAATTATCCAGGCGTGGTGGCAAGTGCCTGTAATCTCAGCTACTCAGGATGCTGAGGCAGGAAAATCACTTGAACCCAGGAGGTGGAGATTGCAGTGAGCTGGAATTGTGCCACTGCACTCAAGCCTGGGCAATAGAGTGAGACTCTGTCTCAAGAGAAAAGTAAAGAAAAGAGTAGCTACTACCACTAATACTTGCACCATTACTGCTGTTTGAGTTGGAGCCACCAAGGAAGACTTTGAAGGACAAGTGGCTAGGGAAAGACACAAAGGCTGGGGAAATAGAATTTGACAAAATGTAAAAGACGAAAAAGGAAAGGAAATGCAGACGGTTTCTGTGTGTGTGTGTGTGTGTGTGTGTGTGTGTGTGTGTGTGTGTGTTTTGTTTTTGTTTTTGTTTTTTCTAAGGAGTCACAGTTATTAACAGCAGTGATATTACCTCTTGTCAAAAAAGCATCGTTAAATGATGGATTGCTTCAATGACTTATAGAATTCCTGTTTCTTCCCAATTTGCCAACTCAATGAAATAACTTTTGGCTGGGGTGAAGTACCTCTGTGTGCCCATGATGGTGCAGATACCTGGGGAGCCAAATATTCCCACTAGAACATTTATCGGCCAGTGAATTGAGATTGGGATGTGTTTCCTCATAGAACAATGTCATATTGTTGGGTTTCTGGGTCAATGCCATGGACGTTTTATAATGTACCTAAGTGCTGCAGAGTTGCAATACAGCAGAGTCGAGTTGCAGTAAATCAGAAAACAACGCTGATTCAGTGCTAGGGACTAAGCTAAACCAAACCAAATCAAGTTTAATAAGAAATCGTATTTTAGCAGAAAGGCTAGCAAAGGCATATTCAATTAAGGGAAGGTAATGGGATTGAAATACTGAAGATTCTAGAGAAGATGACTTCACAATTTCAAGATGCTTGTGGTTTCTTGACCCTGGCTCTTTATCCTAACATGCTCATTTCAAAATGTTTGGCTTCCCTCTCTCCTCAGTCCTGATGTATTCCTAGCCCCACTCTAATGTTTTCCTGGCATGACTAAGGCCATTTCAAACGAAGAAGCAGAATGAAAAGATGGGGAGAGAAGATGGTGGTGAGGCTGTGAATGTGTGGAGAGGGGCAAGCAGAAAGGTGGAAAGTTTTTCTAAAGCTCTGGGAATAGAATTAACAAAGAGAAAAGAGGGTATAATAGTCTGTTCTCATGCTGCTAATAAAGACATACCTGAAACCAGGTAATTTCTAAAGGAAAGAGGTTTAGTGGACTCACCTTTCCACATGGCTGGGGGGGGCCTCACAATCATGGCAGAAGGCAAAGGAGAAGCAAAGGCACATCTTACATGGCAGCAAGCAAGAGGGCATGTACAGGAGAACTCCCCTTTATAAAACCTTCGGGTGTCATGAGAACAGCAGGGGAAAAACCCACCCCTGTGATTCAGTTAGCTCCCACTGGATCCCTCCCACAATGCATAAGGACTATTACAGCCTAAGGTGCGATTTGGGTGGCGCCACAGAGCCAAACCATACCAGAGTAAGGTTGAAAAGATGCATGAGTATGAGCAGATGATTAATTATAAATGTAAGATGATAATAAACACAAAAGGTAGTGAGGAAAACCTACTGGGTCAGTTTCCCTACCAGTCGCCAGTACATGGACAAGGGACAGCGGACAAGAAATAAGAGAAACCAGCCTAACCTCCTAATCCACTAATCCCAACCCACTCCCACTTTCCTGCAATTTGGGTCCCTGGCTTCCGCCTACTTGATCCTGGGAGATAAAAACACAGGAAAAATTTCCTATCACTTATGAGATGTAAAATGCAAACTGCTATTTGAAAACAGCACTTGGCATGCTGCTGTTAGAGGCTCTGGCCCAGCCCTGGGAGAATGTGCCAGGGTCCAGCCCCGGATGCCCAATGTCCCCGCCTTTCTTGAGTCCCGGAGAAGGGATTTCACAGACTCAGGAAGGAACTTGGATTATTGAGTCATTGGGCAGATGTGCAGTAACCAGAGAAATAATGCTTAACAGCCTGCTTAAGGAAAAAAAAAAAAAAAAAAAAGCCAAGACCTTGTTTCTCTCACTTACTCTAGAATAACCCTCCTCCCTTTCTACGTTAGGGCCCTTCTCTGTTGATTATAAGGTTTCCTTTAGCTGATTTAGATACTGATTTTTTTCTTAGTCTGTAAAGACACTACCAGTTCTCATTTTTTAAAAAATTAATGCTTTTTTGAAAAAAACATTAATTTGTTGTCTTCATTGACACATAATAATTGTACATATTTATGGGGTACAGTGTGATGTTTTGATATATGCATACATTGTGTAATAATTAAGCCAGGGTGTTTAGCATATCCATCTGCTATAGTTTGAATATTTGTTCCCTGCAGAACTCATGTTGAAACTGAATCCCCAATATGGAGTGTTAGGAGATGGGATCTTTTTTTTTTTTTTTTTCCCGAGATGGACTCTTGCTCTGTTGCCCAGGCTGGAGGACAATGTCTTGATCTTGGCTCACTGCAACCTCTACCTCCAGGGTTCAAGTGATTCTCCTGCCTTAGCCTCCCAAGTAACTGGGATTATAGGCGAGCACCACCACACCCAGCTAATTTTCATATTTTTAGTAGAGA